GTCTCCCGCCGTCAAAGCGGGGGCAGAGCCCTGTGGTGATTGCCTATCGCGGGCAGGGGGCAGGACAGAGCTCTGCGATGATTGGCTATCGTTGGGAGAGCCGCGGGAAAGCCCTCCGGGGATTGGCTACCGCCTGCAAAGGGGCGGGCCAGAGCTCTGCGGGGATTGGATATCACGAGGAGGGGCGGGGAAGAGCCCTGCGGTAATTGGCTATCTGGGGGGGCGGGGCCAGCTGACAGCACAGCCCGTGGCTGGATGCCTTGGGGGCGGGGCGAGGGGCGGGGGACTGAGCTGCCCGAGGGCAGTGCGGGATTGGTGGAGCCGAAGGGGCTGGTCTCAGGTGGGGGCACCGGGCTCCGCAGCCGGGGGTGTCGCTGCAGGCCGCGCGCGCCCGCTTCGGCTCCGGTTTCACCCCGGCTGGCTCCGGTCAATCCGGAGTGAAACCGGATTAAGCCCATCCCCCCGAGAAGCGCGCGGGGGTCTGGCGCCGCTTTGAACTCGGGGTCCCCGGCGGGCTGGCGGCAGAGCCGCGCCTGCACTGCTACGCTCCACGGGTGTCTGTGTCCCTCCACGCGTGCGCGTGACCGAGAGCCCCACCCGCTCGCCAGGTGTGACTCCCCCCGTAACCCAGCGCCGCCCCTGCCCGGCTCGTGCCGTGTGGACAGGACCCCCCGACAGCGCCGATGGGTGGCCCGTCCCTGGACACGGCCCGGAGATGGGTTTGAACAAGGGCCTGGGAATAGACCCCATGGCCACAGAGCACCCCACCGGCCAGCTGCCTCCGGCGGGTACCGGGGGGTGGCCCTGTTGGTCGGCGCCAGGACTGGAGAGTGCCGGGGAAGAGGTGCCCTGACTTCGTGGGCCGTGGCTGGGGGGTGCCTCAATCGGGAGCTGTGGGGAGAAACGCAGCCAGAGTACGCGGTTGTGAAGGAGCCGGAAGAGGGGGGCAGCCCCCTGACGCACCCTAACAGAGGTGTGCCGGGGTTCCCCTCGCCCCGCCAAAGCCACCGTTTGGGAACCGTACCAGGTACACCACCGGACTCAGGCCTCCGGGAGCAGCTGCCAATGGATGTACCCGGCGGGCCGTGGAAGCAGAGTCGGGTACCCGCCGTCCTGCTTGTTTCCATATACGCCCGATTTGGTGTCACGCACGTGCTGTGGGGCTGGAACAAGGTGTAAATTACAGCAACTCGCCTCCGAATTCAGCCCCAGGTTTCCAGTTTCCACACTGACCACAATATGGCTGTCAACCTACCCTGGCCAGGTGGCCTTAGCTCAGGGGTGGGCAAACTACAGCCCGTGGGCCAGATCCGGCCCCTCAGGGCTTTGGACCCAGGATTGCCACCCCAATGGTGCTGCGGGCCCCGCACAGCTCCCGGAAGCGCCTGGCACCGTGGCCCCTGGGGAGAGGTGGGGGGGCAGAGAGTTCCACGCACTGCCCTCGCCTGCAGGCACCACCCCCCGCAGTTCCCATTGGCCGGGAATGGGGAACTACAGCCAATGGGAGCTTTGGGGGAGGTATCCGCAGGTGAGGGCAGCGCGCGGAGCCCTCTGCCCTCTCTCCCCCCAGGGGCTGCTGGGATCTGGTGCCAGAGCGGCAGGGGGCCAGGGCAGGCAGGGAGCCGGCCTTAGCCCCACTGCGCGCTACTGCCACCCCGGAGCCACTCCAAGTAAGTGGCCCCGGGCCGGAGCCTGCACCCGGAATCCCTCCTGCACCTCAACCCCCTTCCCTAAGCTCCCTCGTACATCCCACACCCTTCCTCCGCCCTAACCCCTTGCCCTGAGCCCCTTCCTGCACACCGTACCCCCTCCCACACCCCAACCCCCTGCTCCAGTCCTACATTCATGGCCTGAATGCAATTTCCCCATCCAGATGTTGCCCTCGGGCCCAAAAGTTTGCCCACCCCTGCCTTAGCTGAACCCAGGCATGCTTCCTGCCTGAGAGCTCTTCTAATCAGCCAGCAGAGGGAGCTCCAATGTAAAGTTTGAATGTAAAGATATTGCTGCTGAGTGATGATGGGGGAATCTTAAGACACCTGGGAGAAATGGCCAGAAAGTCCTGGGGTCTGTCTGAAGCTCCCCGCCTTTGAGGAGATGGGGCTTTCTGACCAGATTCCCAAGGTCTCTTGCTTTCTGCTGCGTTGGAGAAACCAGGCCTTTCTCTCTGTATTTCAGTCTGGGTTGTTTTGCAAGGTTTCAGCAGAGGATCTCCAAAAACTTCATAGTCATCCAGGAGTTAAGCCTCCTGTTCCCCTCAGAGCCTTTTTATCCTCGTGTTGCAGATAGGAAAAGTGAGGCACACAGGGAGAGCCTTGCCAAAGATTGCACAGAGCCAGGGATAAAACCAGGCGTTCCTGACTCCCAGCCCTCTGTGTTAACCACTAGAGAGCGTGTGTCCACAGAAACCCTGCTCAGTGATCCTGGCTACATCTCTGCACTCATCCCTCCAGCCCTGGGAACTAGATAACAAGCTGTTACTGACCCAAGCTAACAGAATTCCTCCTTTAGCTCTTGGGTACATTCTGTGCAGTGCAAAGAACACGTGTCCTGCCTGTACCTTAATGAGGGTCAATAAAACCAGTCAATACCCAATATACTAATTAATACTTTTGCTCCCAGAGGAGACAGGGTGATGTAACAGAAGACTCAGGATGTCCCTTCCAGTCCTCTATCCCCACGAGAGGAGAAAGGTCAGAAGGAAGTGCAAATTACCAAAACATCCCCAGTTTGTAAAAATTTGGCACAACGTTGTGGCTCAGTGTGAGAGTTTGTGTCAGTTTTTCCCTTATTGAACGCAGTTTGCTAGTCCTACAGAAACACGCCGAGAGCAGGGCTGTTCCTGGTGTAACAGGGGGCTTGTACCAGAGAGTCGTTTAACCCAGCCCCATGCCATCGGAGCAGGACTGTTTCCCCCAGCTGCCCCCACATCAGTAGCCTGGTCATATCCCTGAAATGCACTATGTCTGGGTGTGATCAGAAATAGACACCAAACACAACACAGCACAGTGGGCCTGAACAATGCACCCACGCAATCACTGCAGTATTTGAATTTCGAGACTCTCCCTAGCCAGTGCTACTGGGTGGCCCATTCCAGCCCAGCAGCCAAGCCCCGCCCTTCCGCAGCCCCAAGGCAGGGATGGGGTTTTAACTCCTTTGTTCCTTGGCTAGTGCTGCCTTTGGCTGAGGGTGTTGGGCCGCAGAGCCTGTCGCCTCTGGAATGCAGCCTGGATTGGCGGCAGCTGATCCCCTCTCTTGACTGGTTGGTGGCCTGCCTGACATGAGTTGGGTGGGTCTCAGCCTAGTCCCTTAGCTGGCGGGGGTTTGCATCCAAAAAAACCCCCCAGCAGCATAGCAAGGGCCACTCTATTGGCAGCCTCAGTAGAGGGCAAGGCCAGAATGGGCCCTGGAAAGTGACCCGAGCTGTCCTCCAGCTTAAGGCTGGGTCACTATGCGCTTGGCTTGCCCTGCCGCTGCCTGTTGTGTGGGAAATCTGAGGACTTCAGTTTCCAGGGCTGCTAGCTGGCACTTTTCACCAGCACTAAATACATTCACTTTAAAACTCCCTAGTGAACTAGGCTTGTGTTGGGAATTAGTGGAGATGGATCAAAACCATCATAGGGGCTGGCTACCCTCCGGGGACTTGACCGGTGCAGCTACGGCGCCCTCGCTACGCCGGCATAACCCCGAAGCGTAGACACAGCTGGTTTCCCGATGGAAAGCGACACTGCTGCCCCAGGCAAGGTAGCTGGCGCCACGGAAGCATTCTTCTGTTGACCTAGCTGTGTCTCCACTTGGGGGTTGTCCGCGCAGCCATGTTTTCCAAAGGTAATGAAGCTGCCCCTCTCGGCCAGAGGGCTTGTCTGCTCTTGAAAGCTAATTCCGGTGAAGACAGGGTGTGAATGTAAAGCAGAATAGCTATTCCAGAGTAACTCTGTGTAGACAGGGTTCAGAGCAGTAGCCGTGTTAGTCTGTTTCCGCAAAAAGAACAGGAGTACTTGTGGCACCTTAGAGACTAATGAATTTATTGTAGCATAAGCTTTCGTGGGCTACAGCCCACTTCATCGGATGCATGTAGTGGAAAATACAGAAGGAAGATATGTATATACACAGGGAACATGAAACAATGGGTGTTACCACACATTATAAGGAGAGTGATCAGTTAAGTGAGCTGTTGTCAGCAGGAGAGAAAAATAACTGTTTGTGGTGGTAATGAAAATGGCCCATTTCCAACACTTG